AAAATGTATTTTAGAAATGTCAGCCGTATTGTTCCGGTATTCCAATCAAAATACAATGATGCACTTTCTGCTGCTGATCAACAAGACCAACATGGTTTGTTATATGTTATAATATGAGATATCCTTTTATATTTACTGAACGTTATTATATCGTTATTTAATTTCGTTGATGAGATGTTTATTTTATTAGAAAATAGAAAGAAATTTATACCAGGTTAATAGTTCGTTAGAATTGAATACTCACATTATTTTTCGAGAGTATTAATCATGAGTTTTTGACGGTCTTATTCAGTGTTAACCATGTATTCATCAGTTTAATAACTCATATACCGGGTGCGTCTCAAAAGTGGCTCACCCCTATAACTTTTTTATTTTCTCAGTTAAAAAAACGAGATTTGGTATGTTAGTATATGACAACTAAAATTTGATTCGAAATAAGTGTGTGGCATCAAATTATTCGTAAAAAAATACTTTTGCAAATATGCTAATGAGTCACTCTCGTTCCATTTGAAAAAAATGAGATATGGTTAAACATACGATTTGAGCATTTTCTAACTGACCAGGACAGTTTGTGTCTAAAAACATTAGACGACCAAATCTATTTTTCCAAGGCTCCTTGATTAAGGATTAGTGTTTTTAACATAGCCATGGTACTCTAGATTGAATTTTAAAATACGATTTTTATTCAGCGAGGATGTCAAAAGTTGACATATGATATGTCATTCTATTCAGAATGTCATTTTCTATCGAATAAAGTAAAAACATACCGAGGGTGCCATTTAAAATTCAAAAGTTGTAGTAATTTCCGGTGAAACAGGAAGCGACCAAAAACAATTGATTACGTCAATCAATCTTAATTTATGTCATATACTAACAAACCAAATCTCGTTTATTTTTATCTGAAAAAATAAAAAAAATATAGGGGTGTACCAGTATTTTATTTAAGAAAAGTATATGCTTCTATTTGTAATCAAGGAACATTTTGACAGACGATATTCAAAAAAATGACTGTGCAAAGTTTCCCAATATCATTTTTACAATTACAAAAAAATATTTTACACCACATTTTGCCACGCCTACTCTTAATAATTTTGTATAGCTTTTATTAAAGTTTCCCTCAATGTCAGTAACACACGTGACACATTTCATTAACAATACCAATTAAGTTGGTTGAAAGCAGAAAGTTTCTTAATACACGTAACGAGACCAGTTATTTCCGTAAACGCGATACATTGGAACGTCAAATGCAGGAAAAATATTCTCGTATTGAAAAGAAATTTATGCTTGTCATGTTTCTTTTTGTTGAACAATCGATACGGAGCTGATTTCACGTAATGCTCTCCTATTATCTGAGTATGAACACCTTCGTGTGCGACTGAAATTGTTACGATAATATGTTATCAAAATGTTTCGGGAAGTTTAGAGTTAATTTAACGATGCTGGGGTTAGAGTAAATTACGATAGTAATATATAATAAGAATATACCGCATGATTGAAAAAATGGCGTACACCGATATGCTCTTTCCTTAATCTTTTTATTCAAGGGTCCACAGACTGGCGTACGTGTGTTTCATACTTGCCCAAGTAGCATTTTTAGACAAAAAATCGAAACAAAATCTGTACTGAGAAACATTGCGAAACAGTTTCGTCACATTTTTCATACATACCGGGTGTCGCATCGTCGGACAGGACATATGAAATCCCATGTAAATTTTAATGGGGTCAATTATTGGCTCCCCTAATTATTTTAGAGAATAATTCTATTTAGGTTTATTGAAGAGCACTAAAACCCACATTCAAAAGAATACCTTTAGATATTTTTGATTAGCTCGTTTACGAGTTATCGCCGATTTCTTTTTAAATATTTCTCCTTTCTTATGGCCCTGTATTTACCTATGAGCACCAGTCAAGGTAAAAGATAACTGTCAAATGAAGTTGTCATTTCAGAAATTTACCTATTTAGTGCTTTATTATTATTGAAAACTCATACAAATTAATATGAATTAAAGTAAAATAGAGTAATCAATTACAAGGTTAATTATAGTATTATTACAATATTCAATAACTCATTAATTTAGGTACTATTAAATGACAACTTCATTTGACAGTTATCTTTTACCTTGACTGGTGTTCATAAGTAAATACAGGGCCATAAGAAAGGAGAAATATTTAAAAAGAAATCGGCGATAACTCGTAAACGGGCTAATCAAAAATATCTAAAGTTATTCTTTTGAATGTGGGTTTTAGTGCTCTTCAATAAACCTAAATAGAATTATTCTCTAAAATAATTCGGGAAGCCAATAATTGACCCCAGTAAAATTTACATGGGATTTCCTATGTCCCGCTCGACGATGCAACACCCGGTATGTTTCGTAATATAAATCGCCTTTTGTTTCGAAACATTTTACCAAAATATGGTTTCACTACATAAGCTATAATAATAAAGATATTAGTGTCACAAATTTTTCGAAACTTTTAAGAAGCAGATGTGGCTCACATTTACAGATTTCGTACCCGTTTTGTGCCTGAAAAGTTTCCATAATTTATTTGATATTTTGTCATATGAGAACATAACCTTACTTTATTGTTTTGATTTAGTTCTACAGTTTTTGCATTTAAGCATTCTTCAGGTTTTTATAGTACTATAATTAAAAAAGCAGAAGGAAGGACATACGGTGAGAACAAATACAGATATTTTTCTTATTCGATTTAATAATTATTTATTATACGCATTACAGAGATGATTTGTTTTAGAAATAAATGTAATAACAGCCACTACCCATACCCAACAGGAGACCGAAGAAAGATGTTACCAGCAAACCTTTTTTTCCTTTTTTCCACAATGGAATACATGTTTTTATGTTTTAATTGTGTTATAATAAGTAAATAAAAACGTTTTAATTATTTTGACCATAAGTTTTGATTGGCGTTGTTGACAGGTGACTTTGTACACAGAATACAGTACAAATCGAAACATTTTGGAAACAAGGTTTCCATTTATCGACGATTCATTTTCGAAACACGAGTTTCTCTCTTTACAGGTACAAATATGATATAATGTAGATGATTTGTGTCCGAATCCATGTCAGTTTTATAAAAGAATGAATTAAAAATCCGCCATGTTGGCTAGTGATAGCGTTATAGACTAAAAATATATGTTTATATCGGCTGTTGAGATTTTAAACTCATTCTACTTATATTTATTTATATATTTTTATTTTGAGAACCATGATACAGAAATAAAATAAAAATCTATATTTCAAACAAAAATATTTTGTTGGAACAAATAATGATATATAGAAGGGTCATTAAAAATATAAAAGTTTATTATAGTTAAATTAAACGATGAATTTGCTTTTGCCAGATATGTTTTGTGCGAGAAAAGCAAAGGGAAGTGACGCCAAAAAATATTAAAAGAAATAAAATCCGCTAATAAACTAAAAAAAAACAATAATAAACTGGAATACACCGCAAAAAACCGAAATAATTTTAAATTATTAACATTTATGTAACGATTTTTATCAAAAATAAATATCAATCTTATCTGGTCTGCTATATGCTATATGCCTTTTTGGTTAGCGAATTGCCCGTCCAGATTTTAAAGTATTTTGATATTTTATAGTGAATATCTCTTTTATTTGACTATTTTAACACACCAAAAATTCCAACCTAAACTGTATCACTTATTTTCTAGCTATCAGCTGCCACTCGTGGTACAAAGAATACAAGGTATGATCGATAGCGGCTCCAATTTCGTTCAGTTCGCGCATACCACCTGTGACGTCACTAGGAAAATGAGGAATAAATAAAAAATAAAGAAAGTTGACAGGAGATCTGCATTTTTTGGGGTTATGGTTAAGAATTGTTTATTTTTAAGACTTTTTAGTTCGTTTAATTTAATAATTACTAAAACCAGAAGTTCCAAAAAAAATATATTTAAAAATAATAATTATCTATTAACATGGATTTGGACTTTGGACCATAATAGGGGAATAAGAATACTAAATTTATTTTTATATTCGGTACCTATAAAATTGTTTATTAGGTTTTTAGTTTGCGATGTTTATGGTAAATAATTTTCATGTTCATTGCCTCTGATTTCACATGAGGACAGAGATGAGGGATATATATGGAAAAGTAACCACAAGAGGAATTGTTACATCATTTAAAAAATGTTGGGAATTTTATTGTTTCCCATCGAAAAAAGTAGAAAAATGCCAATGCAGATGAATGTATTGGAATTGTGGTAGAAGTAATTACAAGGGGAAGTTTATTATAATTAGTGGAAGTAATTCCAAGGGTGAAGTTTATTATAATTAGTAACCTGTGCTTCTTTTTATATGTAGATGTTTCAGGTTTTGAGAATAAATCGGTTGAACGAAACCCAAAATTTAGAGGAAGTATTTGCATACCCAGAATTTGCCCAAGCTCAATTGCCCAGCTCAAATTTCCTTTAATGGTAGGCAATTATTCAATGCAAATTAACTTTTTAAGTGACTGAAATATTAAATAGTTTACAATATGGTATATCATTAAAAATATATTACATTTAGGTACAATTAGGGCCCGATACATTTCAAAAAGTAGAATATTATTTTATATTAAATGAGGTATTGTACCAACAATCAATTTATATTAATACCGGAGATTAAAAAATAAATAGAATAAGGATAAATAGTTCTTTTTTTTTATACTACAAAAATAAACTATAGAATACAACAGTATTTAAAAAAATAAATAACAAGTTATGTCCCGGCCGAGATTCGAACTCCGGTCTCTCGCTTCCTAGCCCGACTCCTTACGCACTGCTCCACAGTAACTTGCTTAGCGATAATTCAATGACGGTATATAAACAAAAAAACAGGTTTATAACAATATCTTGACGATTTGAACTGGCGCGCGGAGCGTGCTGACCAATAGCGCCTGTTATCACCTGTGACGTAGCGACCAACCTGCGCAATATCATACCTTGTATTCTTTGTACCATGGCTGCCACTTACCCACAAACCACGGATTCCTCGGATTGTTCTCGACGTTGAGCGACAAGAAATACTCCTTGAAGCCGAGCACGGGATTGGCTTGGGGTTGCACCGAGAGCGTGCCCTCGACCTCGGCCTCGTTGCCGTCGGACACCAAGGAGCGGGCGCTCCAGCCGTCCGAACCGATCCAGGAGAACCAGCCGGTGGCGTTGCAACGTCGCACTGCCTTCATCAGTTCGGCCACTTCTTGGTCCGAGCCGAAAATGATGCAGCCTAAATAAAAGAGTCGGGAGTTAATCTTTTATTTTGAATTTGTCTGATATAAGGCTATGGTCACTTTATTTCCGTGATTTGTATTTTAATGCTTACGATAGAAATAAATATATACTGGGTGGCGCCTCTCATACGCCGCGGAAGCTCCAAGGAGAACGACAGTTTGTATTGAAATGAAATTTTGTGAGCATATGTAGGTTAATTCAGAGCACTTTTTAAAATATAGTTTTACAGGGTATCACCAAAAAAGTTACATATCGTCCTATTGCTGCCAAAAGTCGCTAACTAACATTTTTCCGAATAACCAAATTCAATCACTAACTATGTTTTGAAGCGGAGAATCGATTGCAAAAGTCATTAACTACGATTTCTGGCTATTTATGTTTTATTTTAATACCGAATAGTTACTAACTATAACATCTTTATGCAATGCAATTCATTTTTATACGCAGTTAGTGACTTTTGGCAGCAATGGGACGATATCAAAATTGTGTTTTTTGTAACGGAACACCCTATATATTAATTTATTTTCAGATTCTGGGAGCAAAAAAAGGTGAGTTTAATAAGAAAAGTATATGACTAAAATGTAAGGTTTTTGACATATTTGAGATTTTCTAGAAATAAAGAATAATTTTTAAATTACAATAAAAGCTACCTAAATTGGAATTTACCCGGTACAGCCTAATATGTAGTTAAATTAACTATTTAACTTAAAGTAACTTAGTACTTTAAATTAAATTAAAACTTGATCCAAAAAGTTATACATTGTGAGACAAAATTAATGTTTAACATTAGTCACCTTTAAAAGCATGTTACTCTTTTATTTTAAATGGAACACCCAGTATATTATTACGATATTCAATGGAGAATTCATGTCTCTTCAAAAAATACTATTAAGGTTGTCTACCCCTCAAACAAAGATTATCCTAGATATTTTCATTTACATTATTTGATCTGAGTAACCATCAGGGAGATATCGCGGTACAAAGATGGCGGAAAAATAATGTTTTTATTTTTTATCTTGAAAACGAAAAGAGATAGACTAATGAAGTTTTATGGAAGCATTACTGTTATGAAAACACACTTTCAGGTAATTTTTTTACTTTTTTAAAATGAGTGGAAGGGGTTGAAATAAACTACCCCTATCATTCTTGCTAACGAAATTTAAAGAAAATCTTATCAAACACATGCAAATGAGCTTTTAATTTGATAGTTTAGTTTGTTTAGAAACTTTTTACCTCTTGTGTTTTTTTGATAAAACTCACCGATTGGAAATTAAAAAATAAAATGTAAAGCATTACATGTCAGGACAAAAAACATTTTTAGATTAAGAATCTAGTGATAATAACGATAATAATAATCTTCTAGATAATAACGTATTGCAGTAGAGTAATGTCAAATAAAATAATATTAGGAACATCCTAAAAAGTAACAGCGGCCGACTAGATTTTTTCCTAAAAAAATTACAGCAGCCCACTAGATTCTTTATCAGAAAATGTTTTTTGTCCTGACATGTAATGTTTTACATTTTATTTTTTAATTTCAGATCGGTGAGTTTTATCAAAAAAATACAAGAGATAAAAAAGTTTCTAAACAAACTAAACTATCCAAATTAATTTTTTTGCATGTGTTTGATAAGATTTTTCTTTAAATTTCGTTAACAAGAATGATAGGGGTAGTTTATTTGAACCCCTTCCACTCATTTTAAAAAAGTGAAAAAATTACCAGAAAGTGTGTTTTCATAACAGTAATGCTTTCATAAAATTTTATTAGTCTATCTCTTTTCGTTTTCAAGATAAAAAATAAAAACATTATTTTTCCGCCATCTTTGTACCGCAATATCTCCCTAATGGTTGACTTTTGACCCAACGTTTATGAAGCAAACTACCCTTTATTTTGAACAACGAATCACCCCCTGAAGTTTTTCGCGTTTGTTTTGAAACACCCTGTATATTGTCTGAAAAAAGATTGTTTTTATAAAGAAATAAATTCTTTACTTCTCTAGAAAGAAACTACAAAAGAACGATACACGTGCTATAGTTATATAGTTTGTTTGATCTTTCAAGAAGTCCCTGGAGTTACACGTGTTTGTTAAGAACAGAAAAACTTTCACTTATAATATCACAAGAGCTTAAATTATTTTCGGAAATTTTTTTGAGGGCACGAATATTTTGAAAATTATCCCGAGTCGAAGACGAGGGATACTTATCTCCTAAAATATCGGTGCAAGAAATAGCCATCTTATCAGGAATAGCCAAGCAGCGTTAAATTCGGTCAAGAAAATTTCACACCTAAATTTGAAAAAATATAATTTGTTAAGTTGGCCAAGGTATTGCTAAAACTCAAATGGGTAATATTTCAATATATAGACATTGTAGTTCATTCACATTATGATTGTAGATCTTATGTTTACCTTTTCCATCTGTCAAAAAATTGGAACTAAATCTTTCAAGCGCCTCCAAAAAAATTTCCGGAAAAGTTTCTCAGTTGCTTATGGTAACTAGTCAACATTAAAAAGCATGTTATTGGTCTGAAAAGTAGAGGTGTCGGATTTTCAGTTAAATAATAAACAAATGTCCTCTATAAACGTCTAAATCAGTATTTATTGAAACTATAGAAATTTCCGAACTAAATCGCACAATTTGCACATCTTGTTGTATACAATACAGCTATCAGGTATAGCCAGATTAAAATTTCATTTACTTAATGAACAGCTTATATCAGCTATAAAACCGTCCCAGATACTGGCTTTTGTCAAAGCCCTGGGACTGTATGATGAGTTATGATTCAAGAAAGGGGGACACAATGGATCTGTAAGGTCGAAGTGATTAACCCCCTCCCACGCATTCTAAATTCTAAAAAAATTCTACACGTGTTTGTTAAGAACAAGAAAACTTTCTTTTAAATAATAAACAAATGTCCTCTATAAACGTCTAAATCAGTATTTATTGCTCTAAACTATATGAAATTTCTGAACTAAATCGCACAATTTGCACATCTTGTTGTATACAATACAGCTATCGGTATAGCCGGATTAAAATTTCATTTACTCCTGAATATTATATCAGCTAAAAGCACTTTCAAAGATAATTAACGTTTCGAATTGTGTAATGCATGATAATACATTAATCATGCGAAATTGAATAATAATTATACAACATAGTAAAAATAATACAAGAATATTTTATGGAATACAATATGATTACAGTTGAGGGTTGGAACCTTTGGTGTTACACAGCAAAATAAAAACACTAAATCACCACAATACACCAAAACACTTTTACTTTTACACTGGACGCGCGTTTCGCTAACCATGTTAGCATCATCAGCAGATGATTATAAACTAAAGTACAATCTACAAGTTGAGCGTTTATATACTCGCTCGAGTGGGCACCAGTGGGCGTGGCAAAATCTAGTCCAGCCGAGTCAGAGCCAACTGAGCGTAACAGTTCAGATTTCCGCCACTAGAGTAGTAGGAACAAAGAACTTGGAAGGAATTGGACCGTTGACTCTGTTCATACGCTCTTTACATTTATTAATTCTGATGCTTTCATATGCATCTAATTAATACTGTAATTTGAGACTTGTTTAATTAATTTTAAATCATTAAGATCTATACAATGTTCATTATCAACAATATGTTCGGCAACGCAGATTTATCCGGTCTACCATATCTTATCTGAGCTAAATGTTCTTTAAATCCTAGTTAATATTGATCTTCTAGTTTGCCCAACATATTTCTGAAAATAAAACACTAAATCACCACAATACACCAACACTTTTACTTTTACACTGGACGCGCGTTTCGCTAACCATGTTAGCATCATCAGCAGATGATTATAAACTAAATATATTCGGAGTTAGCGTTTATATACTTTATTCACTTGAAAGTCAGATTTTTTCAGAAATCATTAACCTATACCTACGTTTTTCATTTGTTGTCAACTAAAGAAGGAGAATATCCATTACATTCAGCTACATTCCTAATGTAATCTCTTTCTATTTCATATCTTTCGTTGGAAAGTGGGAAGATATAATAGATTACTTAGTTTCCCACTTTCCAACGAAAGATATGAAATAGAAAGAGATTACATTAATCATTAATTAAGGAATGTAGCTGAATGTAATGGATATTCTCCTTCACTAGTTGATAAATTAATTAGAAAACGTAGGTATAGGTTAATGATTTCTGAAAATTCGACTTTTCAAGTGGAGAAAGATACGTCTAAATATTTTTCGATACCGTTTGATAGAGAGTTAGCCCGTGGTCTAAAAAGGAATTTTTAAAATGTCAATTATAAACTTGTGTATAGGAGTTAATAATAAATTACAACAATTATTAGGTAATCAAAAGGATAAAACACCTCCACTGGAAAGGTCGGGTATTTATGAAATTTCTTGTAAAGATTGTAATCAGAAATATGTTGGGCAAACTAGAAGATCAATATTAACTAGATTTAAAGAACATTTAGCTCAGATAAGATACGGTAGACCGGATAAATCTTGCGTTGCCGAACATATTGTTGATAATGAACATTGTATAGATCTTAATAATTTAAAATTAATTAAACAAGTCTCAAATTACAGGCAATTAGATGCATATGAAAGCATCAGAATTAATAAATGTAAAGATAGTATGAACAGAGTCAACGGTCCAATTCCTTCAAGTTCTTTTGTTCCTACTACTCTAGTGGCGGAAATCTAACTGTTACGCTCAGTGGCTCTGACTCGGTTGGCTAGTTTTTGCCACGCCCACTCGGTGCCCACTGAGCGAGTATATAAACGCTCAACTTGTAGATTGTACTTTAGTTTATAATCATCTGCTGATGATGCTAACATGGTTAGCGAAACGCGCGTCCAGTGTAAAAGTAAAAGTGTTTTGGTGTATTGTGGTGATTTAGTGTTTTTATTTTGAATACAATATGGTCGACAAAAATATCAGTTATCTATTTAATTCATTAAATTGTTCGGAAATTTATCCAAACGTCAAATGCAAATTA